GGGAATCAGGCGCAATGCGAATGGACAGTGTGTTCGGGCTCGCCTGTGGGTGGGGCAATGCAAATCCCCCCCCCTCCCCCCTCTTTCTCTCTCTCTCCCCTCTCTCTGCGACAAATCAGAGAAACAGAAAGGGTCGTCTGATTAAAGAAAATCAGTCAGTACATCCGTCCCCCAGCAGAAGGCAGTGCGTGCTGCGTGTTCGGCGCGGGTGGTGCCAAAGAATTTGTTCGACATGCCGACACGAATAAATGGGATTCATACGGGACGTGCCGACCAGAGGCAGCCCCGCAGCCTGGCCCCGCACATGTGAGAGTGGCGTCGGGACGGCCGGGACGGTGTGACTCCGCCTGCGCTCTGGCAGTGACGACGACCTGCCGCCGCCGCCGCCGCGAATCTTCCAAGGCAAAAAATAAGCGCACCGTGCGAGTTTTGCGCGCGCGCGAGGCAAGAGTATTTCCATAATGTAAACGCGGCAGAATTCGCGCAGGATGGAAAATTAGCATTTCCATTTTCGACTTTCGAAACCGCGTCGGTGCGGTGCGGCGGAGCGCGGCGTGGTGGCTGGGACCGGGCCTGGGACTGGGCCTGGGACCGCGGGACGGTTTTTGCGTTTCCAGAAGCAAATGCGGTATCTCCCTCCCTCCCTACCCCTCTCTTTCTCTTCTCCCCTCTCTCCCGCTCCCGCTCTCTGTTTCTCTGTCCCACCCTGCTCCCCGCTCGCGCCCCACTCACTACTCTAATTGTTTGTTAAAGCCTCTGCTTAACCCCTGATGCTCGAATCCCTCCCCTACCAACCCACGTGAATATTTTTTTTTTAATTGTCGTCTATTTTGTTGAATTAAAAAAAAAATCTCTCCTCATTTTATTCCCTCCTGGAATCGTGTCGATTATCTGCACTTTGTAATCCGTGTGTGAGACCAATTTAACTTTGCGGTCCCTTTCTCCTTAACGCGTTTTTTCAACATATCTTTTTCCTTCTACTCCTTTTTTACCTGGGATCTCTCCAGATCTCTCGTTCCAATATTTTTAAGGCAAAAAAAAAAAAACAAAAAAAAAACGAGCAAATCGCAGAAACACGAAACGTTTTGCCGGCGTCCGTTTTTGTCGGTGGCCTGCTGCCGCCTGGTGCGCGTGCGCGCGGTCACTATCGTGCACTATGCGTGCCTCGCTCTCGCGCCGCACACCGCCGCTAATGGAATCGTGTCGCCCGTCGTGACAAACTGCCCGAGATACCGGTTACAACAATTACCCCTCCGACGCGTCCCGCGGGCGCCAGCCGAGCCGAGCCGAACGTAAGCGACACCGTCGGGGCCGAGCCGAGCCGAGCTCGGAGCCGAGCCGGGCCAGGCGGGCGACGTCTATTAACGAAACCGCGCGCGGCGAGTTTGCACGAGGGAGACGTGTCTTTGATTTGTGGGTCGCCTCCTGCCGGCAGCAGGTTGGTGGCGCGGGAGTGAGGGAGGGAGGGAAGGATAGCGAGAACGAGAGAGAGAGAGGGGGAGGGGCGGAGATTGCGAGGGCCGGCCGGCTGCCTTATCGCGTGATATCATCGGCATCGCATACAAATCTAGTATTCACCGAGGGGAAGGGCGGCGAGAGGCTTGCGCCTGCTCCCCTCTCTCACTCTTTCTCGCCCTCCTCCCCCTTTCCTCCCCTCTCTCACACTTTTCCGCCCTCCTCCCTCCTTTCCCCCCTTCTCCGGTACTCACTCTGTCTCTCCCCTTACCTCTGGTAGGACGGGTAGCAGAGTAATAATAGAGGCCTAATGTCTGGAAGTCTAAATTTCTTTTTCAAATCATCGGGGATAGTTAAGATCTTGCTCCATACATTGGTATTTGATAAGCTTCATCTCTTTCAGTTTAGACTTCAGACGAAAGAAAAGTCGCAGTGCTTTGATGAAATTTAAGTACATTAAACAAAGTTCAAAGTAGTCAGGAACATTGACAAACGAGTTGCCTCACCTTACACTTTAGTACGTTTCGTGTACGTCCAGGTGCTACATGATTACAGAGCAGAGCCCCATTTCTTCGACCCCCTTTCTTACCAGTGCTACGTGATGTTTCGAGCAGTGCAGTAGGAGAAGTAGGCCCGGGCCGGGTGTTGCGGTGCGCATACGTACACAAGAACTTGCCTCCCAGTTGGACAACAGATGACGGCGCCGAGGCTACCGCTGCCGCCACTGCTGCAGGGCTGCGGTGGCCCCGGACCAGGGCGCGCCCTAAGTTTGGACAGGCATCCGTCAAAATGTGGCGCGGGTTGGCGTGGCGTTGCCGAAGGCCCGCTCGTAGGGGTGCTACAGCATGGTAGTATGCGAGTGTGTGTGTGTGTGTGTGTG